CGCCTGTTAGAAACTTTACCTGGTCCTCCATCTCTTAACTGCGCCAAACCTTTCAAGTATATTTCTGAGCACTTCAGAATGTCTTTGTTCATATCAGGTCTGTGAATATTTTTGAAGTGACACTTCTATGTTATTGATTTCTCACCATATCAAACCTATTGATATTGTCTTCCATTGCTTCTAGTTGGAACCAGCTAGATTTTTTTTGTTCCATCACTGTCTTATTCTATATCATCCCGTGTCCATTCATGTCCTAAGTATATTCTTGTTTAATGGTGGGAATGTTTTCTCCAATCATTTCTGAGGTTTCTACCTCTTTGGGAGGTTTCTTGATGGGACATCAAGAACAAGTGCAGGGTGTGGCTGTCCTGGTAATAAGAAGAGGTGGCCTCAAGTCAGGAAAAGCCCAGGACAGTGGGGCCTGGTGTGCAGGGATAGGATGTAGAAATAATATGGCTGCTACCATACCAATTTCCATAGGGATTTCATTCAGTTCTCAAAAAAAAAAAAAACAAAAAACCCTAAAAATGAAGTTTTTTTTTTAAAGATTTATTTATTTATGCATACAGAGCTGGGGTACAGGCCAGAAGTACAGGAGAGGTGAGAGGATTCACCAGAGACAGAGTGGGGAGCAGAACAGGCCAAGTGACAAAGTACACTGCTGAGGGGAGCAGCAGGCGGATCAGGAGAGGTCTGCTGCGCCATGTGGGTCATCTCTGGGGCAGGCGAGGATCGAACTCATGTTGAAGTGGCTTTAGCTGCTTAGTGCTGTGCTTTAACCTGCTGTGCCACCAGCGAGGGCCCAAAAATGAAGTATTAATACCCAATCTGTCCCACATTCTGGCCCTCATTGAACTGGGTAGCAATTGAGAGGAGCCTCAGGAGAACAAGGCTCTAGCCCCCTGATAATATTAATACTTTATATTTGTTTTACCCAAAATACTATTCCCACTAAAATGTGTGGTTGAAAGGTAACTATGATTATTTATCCCCAGAGAACAGGAAACTGGGCTTGGAAGAGTTTTTGATACTTGGGTCTCCTGTCTGGATTCCTGCATGGTCTCTGACATCTGGAACCAAGCAACCGATGATGAAAACAGGATCAGACTCAGCAACTTCCAGTAATTACCTCATATCCTGTTGCACAACCTTCTGGAGACCTTAGATCAGAGTTACTGAGTTACTGTGTAACTGTCTCCAGAGCCCCAGCAGCAGTTGAACTAAAGGATGGGGAAGGCCAGGGTCAGGAGGCTGCTCTGGGTGTTCTTCCTCTTCATATCAGGTAAGTTGAGGAAGGGGGGTTAGGCCCATGGTCTTGGGGGTATCTCACCACAAAAAAAAGGTTTCCTTCTTCTTTGAAGCTTCAAGGGATATGGCCCCCCCCAAGACCCAAAGGTTTTGCCAAGTTGGCTTTCTCTTCTCAACCTTAGCAGACTCTGGAGAACATGTGGGTCTGAGGACCGGACTAGAAGGGGTGAGTTAGGGAAACAGGATGTCTGCACGTTTGGGTATCTGGGACATACAAAGTGGAAGAGAAAAGTGATAGAGCAAATGTGCACTTGATGTCAGTAAAAATCATTTTGAGTTGAAAGTAGTTTTCTTATATTTGTTATGGTGCTTCGGATGTTGACTGTCTATGAAACCCAGAAGACATGACTCATTTGTCAAATATTCCCTGGTGGCCTACAATAGGCCAGAAAAGATGCTGCAGGTCAGGCTGCCTGGGAAAGGCCTGGTGACCTGCTGTCCCAGCCTCCTTTACACATGAGGCTCAGGCCCGATCAGCAGTACCACCCCCTCTCCGGGCTGATATGGCGCCCCTCCTACTGCATAGCTTACACTTTCACCAAAAATGGAGCTGTTTGAAGCTCTTGCTGGTCTCTTCCTTATCCTTACCAGAGAACCAGAGAAACGAAAGCATCTGCAGTGAGTTGGAAGTACCGTTGCCTTGGACGGATATGAAAGATGATGGGGGGTTTCTGGGAGCCCATTACTTTCAGGGAGGTCACAGATAAGCCACAGTCACTTTCTGGAGCCTGTACACAAATGTCATCTGGGGCCTCCTGGGAGCTGAGTACCCCTGTCATTGGGATCTTAGCTCGTGTCCCATGTTCCGTCTCCAATCAGGAAATTTCTTCCTCTCAAAAACAATCATTTACCAAAGTTGATTTGCACAAACCATGCTGTCTGTCTACTTCCTACAGTAAAAATAAAATACTCACAGTGTCTAGCTAGTTCCTACAGTAAAAACAAAGTATTTACAGATCTGGGTGCAAGTGCTGGCTTGTAGGGAAATGTGCATTTTCTTTGGAGGCCTTGAAGAACATCTCTGAAAAACGAGCAGTTGAACAAGAAAGAGAAGTGGTTCCTCTCTCATTTTTCCAAAGAGGAAAGTTATTCCTTCTGGACCCTCACTCTTGCTGCTCTGTTTACAGGACTCCAAGTCGCAGCCAGTTCAGAAGTCACGTTTATCCGAGCAGAGGGGGAATCCCTTGAAGTGATCTGCCCCACCAACATCTGGAAGCACGCCAACAGCATGAAGGCTTGGGTGAGGCTGGACGGTGCAGAGGCCAGGCCTCTGGTGTTCACGGAAAAGCCCACAGGGAAGCCCACTCAAGTCCAGGTGGAAAGGTACTTCCTGGAGGATGTGCCCACCGAAAGCATCCTACGTGTCCGAATGATCAGCCTTCAACAGGCAGACTCAGGGCTGTATCAGTGTGTGATCTACCACCCTCCCAAGGTCTCTGAAGTCCTGTTCCATCCTGTCCGCCTGGTGGTGACCAGCAGTGAGTGATCTGCATGGAGGGGGTACAGCAAGGCGAGCCAGGCCAGGGCCCAGGGGCAGTGGTGGGGTCACAGCAGCACTGTGATTCAGAATGTCTGTCAGTCCTTCTTTCTCTCAGAAGCTACTAGTCTCTAGTTTGAAGTTCTGGACAGGCGTTAAGTCCAAAGAAAGGTGGGATTCTATGTATGAATGCTGCCTGGGGGAGCTGAGACAGATTTGCTATGTGCTGTGGGAAATGGTCACGATGGCAGTGAATGGCACACTGGAGGTGATCTGGACTCTTCTTAGGTTCCAGGTAGAAGACATTTTTCAGGGGAAGGCTCTGTGATCTGTTCTCTCCTCCCATGGTTATATCTGCTGCCACTCCCATGGGCTTCCACATCAGCGCTTCTTAGACCTTACTGTGGGTAACAGCCACTCAGGGCTCCTATTTCAAAGGCACACTCTGCTTCATAGCTCTAGGGTGGGACTTAGGTACTGCATTTCAGATCTGTTCCTACATGATGCCTATGTTGACCATCCATAGCCTCCAGTCTGGGAAATAAGGCTCCAGAGTCCTCTGTGTTTCTTCTCATAGATGACACTACTTCACTGTGTTGTCATGGCTGGGTTTATTCTCCACACATCTTACCTACTCATCTCCGAGCACCTTGAGGGACGGGCTTGCAGCACAAGCAACTATTGCAGCATCTGGTACACAGTAGGATCTCAGGAGATGTTGACTGGCTAAATTCTGGAAGGTAGAGAAAAGGGTGACAGGTTCAAGTTCCAAGGGGAATTTTTAAAAAGATTTATTTATCTGTGTATATAAGAACTAGGGTACAGGCCAGAGGTGAAAGGATTCACCAAAGACAGAGTGGGAGAACAGAATAGGCAGATTGACTGAAGCACACTGCTTAGGAGAGCAGTGGGCAGCGCAAGAGCGGTCTGCTATGCCATGTAGGTCACCTCTCTGGCTGGGAATTGAATTCATGCTGCAGTGGCTGTGGATAGCTTCATAGTGCTGTGCTTTAACCTATTGTACACCCAGGGAGGCCCCCACCTGGGGAACTTTAAGCAGTATGTAATAAAAAATAACATAAAAGCAATATGTTTCAGGTGAGTGCAAACTAGAGTAGATGTATAAAGTAGTAGTATAAAGTAATCAGGGAGTTATTCTTAAAGACGATAGGGCCATATGGGTTAGTGAAGAATAGTAGGCAAGTGCATTTCCAGTGAATGTATAGCCTGAAAATTCCTTTATTCTTCTTTTCCTTCTGTCCTTGTCCCTTCCCTTTCCATTTCCTTTTTTTTTTTAAAAAAGATTTATTTATTTGTTTATACAGAACTGGGGTACATGCCAGAGGCTCAGGGGCGGTGAGAGGCTTCACCAGAGACAGAGCGGGGAGCAGAACAGGCAGATCGTCGAAGTACACTGCTGAGGGGAGCAGCGGGCGGGTCAGGAGAGGTCTGCCACGCCATGTGGGTCCCCTCCGGGGCAAGCTGGGATCGAACTCATGCGAAAGTGGCTTTTGCTTCTTAGTGCAGTGCTTTAACTTGCTACGCCACCAGGGAGGGCCCTCCATTTCCTTTTATTCTTTCTCTCATCTACCACTTACTGATCCATTCATTCATCCATCTCTTCATCTAGTCATTTATCTATCTATCAGTGTACCCCATGGCCCCAAATTCAACCATCCATCCATCCATCCATCCATCCACCCATCCATACATCCTTCCTTCCATCATCCTTCCTTCCTTCCTTCCATCCATCCATCGATCCTTCCACCCATTCACCCACCCACCCATCCTTCCTTCCTTCCTTCCTTCCTTCCATCCATCTTTTCATTCATCATTCATTCATCCATTCATTCATGTAATGTGCCTTTCTGAATATATTTCAGGCAATTTTGATGAATATGCGTTTTCCACCCTTCCTCCCACAACCATCAAGACCCAGAGAAAACCCCAAACCACCTCCAGTACCACAAACCAAATCTCACTCATGCCAATTGTCATGGCCAATCTCACAAATGTAACAGATGTCTCCAGGTATGTTTTTCAGGTTGCCACTGGGCTACTGTTTGGGACACCAAGCCCTTTGATTTCCAGTGCAGGTGCTGAAAGGATGTAGGAATTAAGGATGGAAGACTAGGAGGAGGGTGGACAGAGGAAGGTGGCGAGCAGGAGCAGACTTGTGTCACCTCAGTATGGTAGAAACAACCTAGGAGAGTAAGGGGGTGCTTGATTCAGGAGGAGGTTGTCAGAGAAACTACTGCTTTCCAGCTCACCTGTGTGTTTCCACATACTGCAGAGGAATAACATGGGGGAGCTGGCATCTTTGCTGAATTTGTATGAACCTCAGCCAACACCAGAGTCCTATAGTATAGAGGAAAAAGTTTACTGAGGAAAACACCATGGATTTTTTTTTTAATTACAAAAGTTTATTTTTACATCACTTTGTACATTTTTTTTCCCATCTCAATTGTAATCCCCGCGGGTTTCCCATCACCAAGTCACCCATGTGCCATCACCGTAGTCCCGTGCATTTCCCTCGGAAACACCATGGATTTTAATAGTACCAGGCTGACTGGTTGTGTGATCGTAAAGAGTTAGGGACCCTCTTTGGCTTGTTCCTTGTAGGGAGACTAGGAAACCAGGCTGAAGCAATAATCTAATCCAACAGTTCTCACAGCTAAAAGTTAGGATCACTGGAGTGTTTCCTTTCCTTTGCTTTGTTTGTTTTTAATATTAATGTATGTGCTATACTGAAGAACAAAGAATCAGAACTTCTGGATATGGAACTGGTCTCATTATTTATATAAAATCCTCTGGAGATTTCTCCATGTTCAGGCAAAGACAAGAGTCCTTAGCTTTGTAGACATAACCCTCTTTAGAGGTTACTATTAAACCCTGATTTATCTTAGAATATGTTTATCATTAACTATTCAATGAGAAGAGGAAGGTATATTCTTCCCTTTTCCCACTCTCTGTACTTCTGATCTATATTCATGTTTACAAGTATTTTAACACAGTAATAGTACCAGTTATAAATATTTGTCACTGTCCATACTGAAACTGTTGTTTGCTGTTGCTACCTAGTCTTCATAATTATAATTTTGATAACTATGCTTTTCTAGCAACAGATAAGGCATAATTTATGGAATAATTATTTGCCTGCTTTTAGACATGGAGATTGTTTTCATTTTATGTAAAATGACTGCTGGTTTATTCATTGGGTATGCTTGATTCTATTTCCTGAACATCCCCCCACCCCACCTCCTGTTTTCATTTAAAAAGTGTTTACTTTGTCTTGGGGTGGGAGGCCAATTTGTTCCATAGTTTAAGTTGTAGAAAGCTGACTTTCTCCTCATTTTGCCATCCAGGCACCTAAGGCGCTTCCCTGATTAGCCCCAAGCTACTGATTTCCTTAGCTCTTGGATGCTATGTAACAGGAGACCTCTAGCACTCTCTGTGTCTCACTGCTCCCAGCCTCTCAGTTTGAGCTTGAGTCTGGCGCAGAGTAGTGGTAGCGATTGCCTATTTCTACAGTGGTTGATTCTGGACAGACTAATTTTCATTCATTTGTATCTATTGTTAGGACATCTACTGACATTGACCCATCTTGTTGAAACCTGAAAACCTCTGTGATGAGATTTTGATGAGGACTGTATTCTTCTCAGTTTATAGATAAGGAAACCGAGACCACAGAAGTGAGGGGACAATCCAGATGTGGAGGACAAAAACACTGCTTGCTGGCTCTGGGACACAGAGAAATGGCTCCTCTATTCCTCTAAGTGGAGGAAGAGCCAGGTTACCTGCCCTTTCTCTCTGATGCCCTCTGGACTTAGAGACATGCGCTCTACTAATAAATTTCTAATTGGTAGTTTTAGGGAGTGGGACAAACAAAAATGCACAGGGCCAGTTGGCATGGGGAAGGTTCTGGAAAGATGAGATGGGGAATGAGGAGTAAATATCAAGTGCAGGGTCATGTCCAGTGGCAACATGCAGTCTCCTCTCTCCTCAGGATCTCTGTGATCAGCATCATCATTCTGGTGGCCTGTGGATTCCTGAGCAAGAGCCTGGTCTTCACTGTCCTGCTAGTAGTCACGCAGAGGTCATTTGGACACTAGGACTGTGAACCTGTACAAAGTGACCTTTGATCTCACCCACTTACTGGCAGGAACAGAAACTAAAGCACCCCTTCACTGAAGATTAAGCACCTCAAAGCCATATGGTAGAAAAACCTGGCGCTGCCTGCATCAGACTCCTCTTTCCCTGGTACCATGCGAGGCACAGAGATGGTGGGAGGGATCTGCTGGAAGCCAACCTCTGAGCACACTCCTAGTTCCCCCTCTGCCTTCCTCCTTCTCTCCATCTGCCCTGTAAACTCCCTCGCCATCCTTCCCCCCCTTAGCTCCACAGCTCAGATGCCCAGGTCCACTTGCGCTTCACCAACACCAACAGACTGAAATCAAGATGTCCAATTTCCTACTTTGTTTAACCCTGAATGGGACTGGCCCCAATCGTCGGGGAAAGATGGTGAGTCCTTCCATTCCAGGGCAGCTGTGGCCAAGGTCAGTCTCACCCTCAGTTCCCCAGGAGCAAACAACACCACCACACATGGTCCATCTCGCAGTAGGAAGGCACATTCCTACCATCAGCTGGGTTTTCCCTGACTCCTGTGAGAAAAGCACCCCAGTGCCCAGGAACATGGTCCCAGTCCTGCAGCTTCTCCACCAGCCTGAGCACGCTCTGTGTGAACCCTCAGGGGAATGGGGCTGACCCCACTCTGATCCATTAGGAGAAGTATGAGGGGAATTGGTGCTCTGGGCGCTGACACCCCTCTGATCCATTAGAAGTATGAGGGGGAATTGGTGCTCTGGGTGAGATCTTCTGGGAAATGTTTGATCCAGAAGCTGTTCATCTTGTGCATGGCATGGACTTTCCTGAAAGAGCCTCGGCAGTAGTCAGTCCCTGCATGATGCAGGGGGTTTGCTTCCTGAGCATGCACATGGGAACCTGCATTTAGCCATTCCCATATGGCACCTGGTGGAGAAGTTGACAGAAAGCCCTGGGCAAAGGAAGAACCCTGGTAAGGTTCTCTCCTGGTAAGGAGAGGCAGAACACAGCTTCTCAAACTGCAGTGCTGAGAGCACCTGTCTCAGAGTTTCCTGGAGCCTTCCTATAGGTTCTTGAGGCCCCACTAAACCCACAACAGCAGTTCCTTCATGGTTCATAAGCCTATCTGGGAGACGGGGCTCCCAGAAGCCAGCAGGCACCTTAGCAAACACCCTACCATAGTCCTATACTCTGTTGTTTATTGTGTTTGATTTAGTGTGTGGTGTGCTTGATTTATTTATGCATTAAACAGTACTTAAGTTTATCAAGTAAACTTGCTGAGAAATTGTAGACACAGCTTTGGAAGACATACTGGCACGTGGGGACTCCCTTCGATCCCCTTTTCCCCTGCTCTGGGCCTGGACACCTGGTCTCTGTAGACTAAGCTAACGCGCTCTTTTGCCCACCAGCTTCGGGGTGGGTTTTGCCAACAGGCTGCATGACTGGAGAGCAGAGAGGGTGGAGGATGGTGAGCACAGAGTTCTAGCTCCTGGGGGAGTGGCATGAGCGGCTACATTCTCTACTGAAGGTGCCCTGGAGGCCCTCACCAAACAGCGACTCTCCCAAACTTTGGGCAATGGCTCCATCCCCTTGTGCCTCTGTCTGAGAGGTGGTAATGGTTGCTTCACCAGGGTCCCCAGCCTTGAGGAACTACAGCATTTCCAAACCCTCCCCACACTTTTATGGACATACTTCTCAATTAGTCAGTTTCAGTGAGCTACTTGTTTCTTGCTGGGACATTGCTCTATAAGAATAGCATCTTGGGGCCCTTCCTGGTGGCGCAGCGTGTTAAAGCACAGCACTAAGAAGCTTAAGCCACTTCCATATGAGTTCGATCCCTGCCTGCCCCGGAGTGACCCACAAGGTGCCGCAGACCTCTCCTGACCTGCCCGCTGCTCCCCTCAGCAGTGTACTTCGTCGATCTGCCTGTTCTGCTCCCCGCTCTGTGTATGGTGAATCCTCTCACCATCCCTGCACCTCTGGCCTGTAGCCCAGTTCTGTATCCATAAATAAATAAAATCTTTAAAAAAAAAAAAAAGAAAGAATAGCATCATGTGGCTAAGTATACAGAACTTGGAATGAAAAGCACCCAATTCAGTTCATCTTTCAGGGCCTCAGCCTCAACTAGACATTTGGGGCTTAAGAACCAAACTAGTCATGATTTTTGAAGTTAACTGAATCCCATTTTGGTTCTCTTCAACAAGGGAATTTTAGGAGGAACTCAGCCACTAATAGAGTGGGTGACAATGTTGGTTTAGAAAATGGTGGAGATCAAGAGATAATGGCTAGTAGGGGCCAAAACTGAGGCTCAAGCACATGACAGTCTCGTGATGCTGCCATTGAAGCCACTGATCTGGGGCCCTTAAGCCACCGGGCACTGCCGCCATGCTTTTCCTGGCTCAGTGCTCCCGCTGTCCCTGTGCAAATCATTCCAACTGACCCTGCTGTTTGTATCACATCCTGAGGACCCAAGATCCTGGGCAGAACCAGGCATTTAACAAACTTAGGTCGAGTCTCATGCTGATCCCACAGGTGCCAGGAAGAAGTGACAGGAGAAACATCTGCCTCCATACTCAGTAGAAGGGGAAGTGGAGCTATCCATCCTAGCAAGACCCTCATGTTGGGGCATGTCCCCCAGATGAAAAAAGCACTGGGTACAGGAGAGCCAAAAAGTGACAGATTCTGACTACACAACTCCCCAGAGCTGATAGGATTGAATGAGATAACATGCAAAGCACCTAGCGCATAGTAGGACTTCAACCGGAGGTACTTACTCCTAGTCCTCCTATGTCCGTGGCTAGACCAGGAGCTCAGGGAAGAAGGTACCCCGCAGGGTCCCTGAGGGAGGCAGGGATCAGGGCCCATCTGACTGCATACAGACCTTTCCCAGACATCATATATTTGGATCACTTCCTCAGAATCACTTGGGCTATTCATTAAAATGCAGATTCCTGGACTCTTCTCAGAATTACCAAATCAGAATCCCTGGAGTAGAGTCCAGGTGGCTATCTGTTTGCTGAACTTACTGAGTGAATCAGCCACATCTCATGTTATGGAAAAGCTTAAAGAAGACAAGGCATCATGAAAGTTTTAACTGGGCCTCAAAGGGCAAGTCAAACTCAGAGGCTCAGTATCGTGCCCTTCCCTAAGGGGAGGAGGGATTGCAGGGTGTGATGGTCAGTGGCCAGTGATGAGAATGCCTGGGTGAGGAAGCCAGTGACAGGTGGGACATCATGGGGAGAGTCTAGATTTGTGGTGGTGGAAATAAGGAGCTTTTGAGTGTTGCCCAACAGAGATGTGACGTCATAAAAACAGGAAAGAAAATGTCGTAAGGACAGTGATCTCTCTTTTCTTCTTCTGCATTTTCCTGAGCTGCTCCTGCACATCATATTTTTCTTAGGATTTCTCAACTGCAAAGCAACAACCGGCCTCAGTTGTTTTTGTGAGACCATATCATTGCACTCCCAGAAGACAGCCAGCCACAGCCCATCTAGGATGCAGGATAGAATGGAGGGGACAGGGTTGCAGGGGTGGACACAGCTACTGTTGTTGCTGCTGCTGCTCTGGTTCTCAGGTAAGAGACAGGGTGAGGGGTGTGACGGCTGAGGGGAGGTAAATACTAGGAGGGGTTTGCCTCATCGCTTCAGGAGGGACTGGAATGGGATCAGACTATGTAGTCAGAGAGGAAAGGGAAAAGGCAGGTAATGAATGCAGACTGCTGGTCGACCCTCAGCCAGCAGGGAAACAAGTTGGATGTTGCTCCAGCACATCTTAAGTTGAAAAAATGGTTTGAAGTCAAACAATCTCTCATCCTTGTGGTGGTATCTTGGAGGCACTTAAAGAAATAGAAGCCAAAGTTCCCCTTAAATAAAGCAGGTGCCAGGCTGGAAGATGCATTGGTAGAAGAAAAGGCAAATAACAACAAAGGAAAGCACATTCAACTTGAGGGCACCAGGAGCTAATATAAAGTACTGTGTACCGAAAAGCCCCAAAGTAGAGGAAATATGGGTGGTAAAGCTAGTTAAGTTGTTTTTTACTTTTTTTAAACTCTTATAAAAAATTTCCCTGTCCTCCCTGGTGGCGCAGCGGGTTAAAGCACAGCACTAAGAAGCTGAAACCACTTCCGCATGAGTTCGATTCCCGCCTGCCCCAGAGGTGACCACATGGTGTGGCAGACCTCTCCTGACCCGCCCACTGCTCCCTTCAGCAGTGTACTTCGTTGATCTGCCTGTTCTGCTCCCCACTCTGTCTCTGGTGAAGTCTTTCGCCACCCCTGAATCTCTGGCCTGTACCCCAGTTCTGTATGCACAAATAAATAAGTCTTTAAAAAAAATTTCCCATTGATAAAATATAGAAAGATTAAGCAACATCATCTCCATCACCTAGATTTAAACCATGATTTTGCCTTATATACTTCACACACAACACACACACACACAATTGCTGTGCCATTTCAAAACAATTTTCAGAAATCCCAAATTACTCCTAAGTGCTTGGCGGGTCTACAGGCACTATCAATCCACTCGTGGAGAGGCGGTAAAATGGGTGTTTGTTCAATGAAGCACTTTGACTCCTCATTCTAGATTTGCAAGCTGAAGGCCAGGAAGTGAACCAAGAGTGCCTGCAAGAAGGAGAGAACCTGACTGTCACCTGTTCTTACAACCTCCAGCTGTATGCCACCAGCCCAAAGGCCTGGCAGCGGGTGACTCGCCAGGGCCCACCAGTGACACTGGTGCGCACAAGTACTAGAGACCCAGAGCACAACGTGGCCCAGGCTGGGAGATACGTGCTGCATGATTACCCCACTCAATCCGTGTTCAAGGTGACAGTCACAGATCTCCAGAGGCAGGATGTGGGCCTGTATCAGTGTGTGATTGACCTCTTACCTCAGAACCCCACTGTCCTGCAACCTCAGATTCGGCTGGTCCAATGCAAAGGTGAGCAGCAGCGAGACCCAGACAGAACAGGGATTCTGCAGAGGTTCTGGCCGCCAGGTGGGTGAGGCTTCACGGGAGGGCTGCTCCACCCCTCAGGCCCTGAGACCAGTGCCTCTGGGCTTCTTTGCTATCTTTCTTTGTGACTTTGAGAAAGGCACACTCTTCCCTGGGCCTCAGTCTTCTCACCTGTTGAGACAAGAACTTTGGATGAGATCAACTAAAAGCCTCTTCCTCTGTGGAGAAAGTGATACTGGGCATGAACTGTGTAATAAGCATTTAACTTGCTCAACTCTTGGTGTGAAACAACATAGAGTCTCCGTTGCACATGGGGAGGCTCAAAGAGGCTATGGTGTCCTGCACCTTTCAGCCCACATTAAGTGCTGCTGGGACTCCCCGCACACCCATCTGATCTGGTTGTCTGCAGTGACTCCTGTAAATGGGCCCATTTGGCCTTAAAAACTGCCCCCTGGATTAAGGGGTCCTGGCTGGACCGCATGGAGGACTATCTTCCATCCAGGCAGGCCCAAGATTCTTGAGCTCCAGGACACAGAATACCCTTTGCTTCTATTCTATCCTGAAGCCATAGCACAAACTATGAATATTACTCCTCATGGCCATCAAGGTCCCATTGACCAACCTCAGAGGAGAGGAACTGGGCGCTGGACTACTAAGATTATACAAGCATATTATCCCCTTGCTAACAAGGTCTTGGTGCAAATGGACCTGGACCATAAGCAGCCTCTGCCTTGGGCTTAAAAGAGTGTGGGGTTGACAGAAGTCCTCCCCTCCCAAGCAGGGGATCACCCAGAATTGTTGAGGTTGTGGCTGCCAGTGGTTGTCAGAGAATCCCTCCTGGAGGAGGAGAAATGCTGATGGCTGCAAAGTGCATTTATTTAGTGTAGTGGAGGGGGCAGGTGCGAGACACGAGGAGCAGATGCTGGATACACATGGAGAACTAGGGCCATGCCATCATGCATATGTCCTCCCATGGGCAGTGGGGAGCTTGAAGGGCAGCCCTGGGCCCTGGAGTGAGGTGTGAGGGCCCAGTGCAGAGTAGCCATGTAGCCTTATGCAGGAAGTGTGGAGAAAGGAGCTGTTAGAAGTGGGGGACCAGGTAGTTTCCTTTGGGACTCACAGGAAAGGTAGAGGCTACATCTCAATGGGTGTGAGCCCCTGCTTGGGTCTCATAGCCAAAAACAGGGAGCGGGCTGAGTATCACAGTGTAACATTCCTCCCTTTCAGCTTCAGAAGGGCAAGGATCTGCACTGGCCCTTGACCTCACAAGTCTTCCAGAACTGGCTACTATTCTGACTTTTGGATTGATCCTGAACAAGAGCATCGTGTTCTCAGTCCTGTTTGTCTTTCTCCGGAAAGCCTGAATTCAGGTGAGTAAGGGCTGGGGCCAGGCTTAGGGTAGAAAGAATGAGTGGACAGAGGCAGTGGCTACGGATAGAAAGCATTCCCCAGGACCCATAACCTCACTTTCCTCACTTCAGCGCCAAGGCAGGACTCTTTGGGTGGGAGGCTCTGAGAGCCACTTGGATGGAACTGAGTTGACTTCCCATGATGGGGACACCTGCAGGGGGTGCTGGGCGAGAACTTCTGCTGTGTAACAATACAGAATTTCCTTCAGTGGAGGGAGACTCAACTGGGACTGGAGTGAATGGAACATACTCAAAGATTACCAATTTCTCTCACTTCTCAGGCAAGGAGGTCTCCTGAAGGGGCACAATGCAAGCAAACCCTGAGAAGCAGCCGGCTCACCCTTCCAGGAGCAACAGTCACACCTTCCTCCCTAACAAACACCACATTCATATTCAGCGATAAGTAAAAATACTTTCTTCAAGTTCAAAGAACCTGCCAAAGATTTGTTACCATACCATAAGATCTGTACTTTAAGATCAAAATGTGGCATAGTTGCAGTGGAAAACTATGCAGCCATAAAAAAGATAAATTCTTGCCATTGGCAGCTTAGATGGATCTTCAGAGGATTGTGCTAAGTGAAATAAGTCAAAAGTGGGAAAGACAAACACCATACCATTTTATTCATGTGTGGAATAGAAAGAAAAGCAAAAGTAATCAACTAAATACAACACAAATGAAAACAAACCTTTTGACTCTGTCAACAAAACGGTATTTACTAGAGGGAAGGGGGTGGAGGAACTAGATTGGTGGTGGGTATGACATATACAGTTGTTGAGGTGAGAAACTGCACCTAAACCTCTACCATGTTGTGAACTAATGTTATTGCAATAAAAAGAAAAAAAAATCAACTTCCTACCCAAGGAGAAAAATAGAAATGAATGAAAAAAAAAATGTACAAGCTGGCTGGATGGGAACTCTTGGGATGTAATCAGAAGCCAAGGGAATGGCAACTGATTTTTGCATTCAGTAGAGCAATTGGCATTCAAAGTAAAATTCAAAAGAAGCTTAACTCCTTTAATTATTTATTTAGCTCTTAAATATCTGCTTAACTCCTATCAGATTTGCTCCTTGAGAACTTTTTCTTTTTTCTTCTTTTTTTTTTTTAAAAAAGATTTATTTATTTATTTATACAGAACCGGGGTACAGGCCAGGGATGTGGAGGGTGAGAGGATTCACCAGAGACAGAGTGGGGAGCAGAACAGGCAGATCGGTGAAGAACACTGCTGAGGGGAGCAGCGGGAGGGTCAGGAGAGGTCTGCCATGCCATGTAGAGCACCTCTGGGCAGGCGGGGATCGAACTCATGCAGAAGTGGCTTAAGTTTCTTAGTGCTGTGCTTTAACCAGCTGTGCCACCAGGGAGGGCCAGAGGACTTCTTTTTAAAGATTTATTTATGCTTACAGAACTGGGGTACAGGCCAGGGGTGCACGGGCAGTGAGAGGTTTCACCAGAGACGGAGTGGGGAGCAGAATAGACAGAATGACAAAGTACACTGTGGAGGGGAGCAGCGGGTGGGTCAGGAGAGGTCTGCCACGCCATGTGGATCAGCAACCTGGCCTGGGATTGAACTCCTGATGCAGAGACTTCAGAGAGCTTCATAATGTGGTGCTTTAACCCTTTGCGCCACCAGGGAGAAACCTCCCTGAGGACTTTCCTGACCTTTGTCTGAGGCCCAATCACTTTTATGGTCATTGAAAGTAATAGAATTTTCTAATAAAAATTTATTTTTATTTATTTAGACATACAAGAAGGCCAGAAATGAGGGGTTGAGAGGATTCACCAGAGACAGAATGGGGAACAGAACAGGCAGATGCACTGAAATACACTGCTGAGGGGAATAGCGGGTAGGACAGGAGAGGTCTGCTGCCATGTGGGTCAGCTCCCTGGGCTGGGATCGAACTTGGGGTACAATAGCTACCAAAAGGTTGATAGCACTGAGGTTTAGTTCCTGCGCCATCAGAGAGGGCTAAAAGACTTTTTTAAAAAAAATACTATAACAGTTTATTTTTACATCATTTTGTGCATTTTTCCATCTCAGTTGTAATCCCCATGGGCTTCCCATCACCAGATCACCCGTGTGCCATCACCACAGTCCAGTGCATTTCCCTCCCCCCACTGTTTTTGATCCCATTCCCCACTCCACCCCGTAAAATGTCTCTGGTATATATCTATCCATTATTATCATTACTTTCTCACCTGGTCCATTTTTTTTTTTTAAAGAACAGTTTTAGGTTCACAGCAAAATTGAGGAGAAAATGAAACAGCGCTGATATATTCCTGATCCAAGCCATGCACCACCTCCCCCACTGTCAGCATCTCACCCCAAAGTGGCAGATTTGTTGCAACCGATGAACCTATCTTGTCACATCATGATTATCCAAAATGGTAGAGAGAAAATTACTTTTGAGTGAGATGAATAGCACAGTTTATAAAATTTCCCTCAGTACTCTGCTTCTGAGACTACCCTGGCTAACAAGTATAACAAGTAAATCTAAGTTTTGATATATATATATTTTACTGCTATGTAGGATTCCATATAATGTAAGTGTCTGAGCTTACTTCTTCTTCTCCTAGTGATGGCCAACAAAATTGCTTCATGCCAACAAACAAAAAACCTGGAAAAACAAAAGACAGTATTATAACAGAGCAACCCCATTTGTGTTCCTGAAAACAATATAAGAATTTTCTAGATTTCACTCTTAGCTGGCAAAGCACCAACAAGCCAGCAGTAGGAACAGGGAAGGAGCATACCTGCACATGCCCATATCACTGATGCCCTGGGCTCTTTACCTGGCTTTCACCAGTTAGTCCCCCACAGATTTTGAAGTTTCAAGGGAGGAATGTTAACTATGGATCAGGTAACAGGAGCAGGGGAAGAAGTATCCTGCGCCGTAGCAGGTCTGGGTTTCATGGGGCTGATTCTCAGCACAGGTTAGCGGGGAGCATGATTCGGCACACCCAGCACGTGCTTCCTCCCGGATGGTGTGTTGAACCAGCATTCTGAGTCTCCACCCAGGGTGGTGGTGGGAGCGGGGAATGGTGAGTTTTAGAAGAATAATGAGAACTAAGTCACTTCCAAGTACATTGTAGGTCCACTGGGTGTGACCTAATGATCAGCTGCTTCTGGGGCCAATGAGATAGGAAGCCTCTGCAGGGTAAAGAGCCTGTTTCCTGCTGGCGATTGGCTGCCTCGGCCTGTTAGCTTGGGGGCTCAGTGACAAGAGGGTCAGGAAAGCAAATCTAGGTTCAAGGGGTCCTGAAACATACATACAGCCGTTAGCACAAAGGTGCCTCTGATTTAGCAGGACAGATGCCTTTCCATGAAGCGAGGCTGATCGGTTTGGACACATCACAGAAAAAAAAAATAGGCTTTGACCCTCCTCTCACACCATACACAAAGTTAATCCCAGAGGGATCCTGACCTAATCGTGTGAAGGAGAGCCCTTTCTAAGATGTGTTACTTTGTCATCTGTATTATTTTGAGTTAAGGTTAGGCAAAACTCTAAGACACCCCTGACAAATTTTTGCCGCTACTTCAACTATTTAAAAGATTAAAAATCAAGGTCATTAACCCAGAAATGGGGTTTTGACCAGAAGTAATCTTTCTATCAAAGGAATCCCTCTGCAGGGCAGGCATCCCATTGCAGAGCAGGTGAGACTGCTGCCTAGGGGAGTGAGCTCCTGAGCTCCTCATGCAAGAATAAAACAAGGACCCTGCTTTTGAAGCTGAGGTTTACTGGAATAACAGAACAACAGTGTGAGTGTCTCCTTGAGGACAACAGCCTCTCCCTTTTATAGAATGCAAGGAGTCCGACACATGGACATTGTTATTCTATGCATTGGGGAAGAGAATGGAAGCATGTCTGGACACATGACATAGGCTTGATGTCTAACTTCAACCAGAACTTTGCAGCTACTGGGTTATCCTCAAATGCCTGGAGGTCCCTAGTAAACTCCCTTTGGCAGATGCTTTAAATCCTCTTATGGCTGGAGCTCCTTACCCTCCTCAAATAACTCCCCCCTTCCTTCTTACTTGAAAATAAATCAAGTCCTTCATAGGTGAGCACCCCACCCTCTTTCAGATGTCTCAATATCCCTCATCCTCATTCCAGAGCAATGTGAGCAACTAGAGAATCAGGACTCTGGTCAGGACCATGGCCAGAACCCAGAACAGCTCTGGGGTGGGGAAAGGACAGCTGGTCTGGGAACTGGCCTCTCAGAGCTGGAACTGCCCAGCCCTTGTCAGGACACACCACCAGCCCAACCCTGGAAAACCCCTGCCCAGTCCTGTCAGCGCTGTGGGCTGGAGCAAGTCATGGGTATCGCTCCCCACCCTCACCTGGGGCCACAAACCACATGCCAGAGCCCACAATAGTCATCTATTGAGGCGCAGACACTAAGATGTCCCTTTTCCAATTTCCTCTCTGATCCAGCCCTGCTTTGACCTGATCTCACATTTGTGGTTCCAAACCTCTGTCTTCAAGTCCTGTCCGCTCACCCCAGTCCCTCGCTCTTCCCTTCTCAACTCTGGTGTTTCCTAAGCTGAGAATCTCAGTCCCTGTCCAGGGCCAATAACTCCCCTCCTCAGGGCAGGACACCTCCCAGGGCATCATGTGTGTGTGTGAGTGTATTCATGCATGATTGTGTACTGGGATTGGATTAGGTCTCAGGCAGGCAGACAGCAGGGACTGCACTTGCCGAGTAGGTAGATGAGGACGGCCAGGGAAGACTGTCTGGGCTGCATGTGGGGGCAAAGTGTGGAGACTGGCAGGTGGGCGTGACACTGGAACCCAGAATAGGGATGGAGGCACAGACTCTCCCTGCTTACAGGTCTGTGATTTGACCCAGCTCTGTTGCTTACTAACTGTGTTGTCTGACAAGTGTCTTAATTCTCTCGGCTGGCTTCACTATGTGGGTATGCAAAGCTCTGCATATTGTTATGTCCTAAAAAGAAAAAGTAGCTGGTAATATTTACCCTCCATTTCATTCTATTCCTCTTTTAATTTTTCCTTTCTCCTTCTGCCTATTTTCATCCCAGAATTCTATTACACTTTTTCTTTTCCAAAAAATATCTTTCTTTTCCATGCACATGCACTTCTGTGTTGGACAGAAGCCTGGAATAGGGAGAAATAATTTGTTGGTTTTACTTCCTTCTACTCCCCCACATAGGTGGATTGGACAGTGTGCATGCCCCTGTAAACCACAGCTCCTGTCTTCAGCCCCGTTGTCTAGGAACACAGCTCTCCATCCTTCCCTTCAAGCCTGAGGTCATCCACACCTGTATCACCCTCCCTGGCGTATTCCCCAATCCTGCCAACTCCTCTACAGAAAACCCTGTTAAAACATCTACAGTTGAGGGCTCTCCCCCGTGGGGCAGCGGGTTAAAGCACAACACCAAGAAGCTAAAGCCACTTCAGTATGGGTTCGATTCCCGCCCACCCTGGAGGTGACCCACACGGCGCAGCAGACCTCCCCTGATCCACCCGCTGCTCCCTTCAGCAGAATGCTTGTTTTGGTCCCCACTCTGTCTCTGGTGAATTCTCTCACCACGCTTGTGCTTCTGGCCTGTACCCCAGTTATAGATGCATAAATAATTAAAAAAAAATCTACAGTTGAGCCCTTTTGTA